TCTCTCTCTCTCTCTCTCTCTCTCTCTCTCTCTCTTTTGTGCGCGCTCTTAGTCTCATTGCTTTGGCTACCTTAGGGCTGCGTTCCCCGCGCCCACGCGGTAGGCAATAAGTGAAAGGCACCCTGGTGGGCCACATCGTCGTTGTGGCAGTACAATTTTATGAGTATTGGCAGTAGTAGTGGTAGTGCTGTTGCAGCAGCCTTATTACTATCTTAGGTAGGGGAGGGCTGGCCATGGGGGTTGATGAGGTGAGGGCCGTGAATGCACTCGAGTGGTGGGCACTGGTGGGTGCGAGGGGCCCCCTTCCTTCCGTCGTCCGACTGCGAGCAGCAGAGGGGTTAGCGAGGGGGCTAACAGTCCCCAATCCCCTTCGAGGGGTGGCGGATGGGGTGCAAACGGGAAAAAGTGTTCAGAGGAGTTGGCCGGGAGCAAAAGTGAGACAGAGTTCAGAGGAGAGCAGTTGGCCGAGAGGGGCAACGTCGGAAAAGGAAAAAATGGTCAAAGATCGAGCGGCGGAGGGAGAAGGCAAAAGCGCAAGAGAGGTCAAAACACGAGCGTAAAGCAAGATAAGCACATACAGTACCCACACGCATAGGCTACATCACACTCACGGATACACAACATACATACACATACATACATAGTTTACACGCGCGCGCGCGCGCGCACGCGCACACTCACGCACGTACACGGACACACACACACATACACACACACGTACATACACGCACGCAAAGACAAACACACCGACAAGGGAGACGAGGAGTTCCAGCCCTCCTCAAGCGCGGGCGCACCCGTCCTGATGCCCGGCTAACCAGTAAACACTCGTTACTTAGTCGCCAGACGTAGCAGCTGGCAGCAGTTGCAGCCTCGAAGCAAAACGCGGGGCCGCCCAATAATTCCATCGTACCAGCAACTACAGCTTGTATACTCCAGCACAGGGTCGGTCGGGTAAATGTGAGGGTGAGGGTGAGCGCGAAATAGGACGGTCGAGCAGGGACAGGGGTGTGGGGGTCGGGCACGGCACAGCACAGCACAGCACATTAGCAGCAGCAGAGCAACAGCAGAAAGCAGCACCACACCTTACGCGCCACCGTTTGTGTGTCGAATGGAATGGAATCGAAAAGGGAAAATCGTCATCCATCTTCTCCTCGTCGTGTTAATGCGTGATGTAAAAAACAGACGACAAAAGGTGAAAATCAAAATGTGTCAGTGAAAAGAGCAAATGCGGGCAAGGAGTTGACGTCCCTCGACGACTCCTTACCGGATCGGAAACCGAACGAAAGGCAAAGCCCAAGCGCACAAAGCGAAATCAAAGGGGAAGAGAGGGAAAGGGAAGTAAAGCTCAATCCTCACAGGCAAGCACTATTTGCCCTTCCCCTCGTTCCTGTTCGTTTCGACCAAAAAAATATTTTCGTTCAGGTCTCCCCGCTTGCGTGTTTGTGGGTGTTTCTCTTTGTGGGGGTGGATTATCTCCTTTTTATTATGGGGTGCATGCACCCTGTGCGTCAAACTGAAAATTCAATGGCAGCGTTTGATATTGACAGCAGCATGCTCTTGCACAACCGCCGAATAGCACTTCTCGGTCTACAGACCATTCTCCCTGCCGTCCCCCCTCTGAAATCTCTACGGTGGCGCGGAACGGGTCGGCCTGGGTCCTTCACACGATGTGGAGAGAAGCTGGGAACGGAGGCGAGAGGATGGATGGTGGTACACTCAAATACGCCGGATCGTCCATCTTGAAAGAAAATGAGCGTTGCACTTGTGACACGTGGCTGATATCTGGTTGATCGACTGCTGCTTGCCTGATTTGCCTGCGTGGGAATTTCGCGCCACATCTGTTTTGCACCCACCCACCCACCCACCCACCCACCCGTCCCTTGAGAGAGAGACGCGAAGCAACACACTCTCATTAGCTTCTGTCGGAGACGGTACCTCGACCGCGGTGGTTGACGCTGCAAAAACGCCAATCCTCCGAAAGCGCGATACAGACCTACGTGGCATCATCTAAACCCTCAACCATCGTTGTCCATCGCTCCCAGTTGTTGCCACGACACCACTGCTATGCTCCTCCTCATCCTGTACCTTCTCTTCCTCCTCTCCCTCTTCTGTCTCCCGCCCTCCTGTTCCTCGTCCTCTTCTCCCTCTCGCCCTGGGGATACTTTTTCGTGTCTCAAGTCCCCCTTGCCTGGAGGGTCTTTTTCTTCGTCGTCATGTCCATTCTGATCCCCCCTTGCCTTGCAACGTGTTCGCGGCCGTTGCGCGCCATCGCACTGTTCCGTCCGTTGATCGACGGCGCTCCTCATCGTGATCTGTGGGTATGGGGACTCTAGCGCGGGCATGGATGAGAGTAGGTACCCTCCTTGCTGCGCATCGTGTCCCTCCTGGAACGAAATTCGCTGTGGTGGAGAGTACCCCTGCGGTTGCTCTTTGGGAGGGCGGCTGTTTCGGACCGCGTGGTAAACTCTGGGGCGAGAAGTGTGTTGTGGGTTCCATGTCTCTCGTTGTGGTTGTGGCCACGTTGGAAAGAGCGATGTCGGCGTCATCATGAACACGAAGCGATGGGATCTGGTCGGACCGCTGTCATATAAAAGGGCAGAGAGTACATTACCGCTGTTCAACAGCCGCGCGCGATGTTGTGTTGGCGGTAGGGGGTGGGGGAGCGAAGTTGTGAATCAAGTCGGTGTGTTGGCGAGGAGAGGTGGAGAGAGAACGTGTGTGGGGGGGGAAGAAGGGAGGAGGAGGTAGTGGGATTAAAAGCAGAGAGAGAGAGAGAGAGAGAGAGAGAGAGAGAGAGAGAGAGAGAGAGAGAGAGAGAGAGAGAGAGAGAGAG